TTTTTGGGTTCATAAACTTAAGAAAGAAAAGGACAATGCAGAAGGTGCTGGTTCTAACTTATAAGTTGCCCTTGCAAATACTGATTCCTTGATTTCACTAATATTAATTTTTCTTTTCTTTAGCTCACTCTACCTTGTTCTCTAGAAGGTTCCTTTGATCCATTCCTCTGTTCAACCTAAGTGCAAATGTAGAGTACCAGCCTACTTGAATAACTGGATGAAAGATGTACTTTCTACAATGTAAGAGTATCTTTTCAACTTAGATTGAGTTATAGCTTCCTAAATATATCAAGTATCAAATCTCTTTGCCTTGGATTAAGATACTTTGCTTTTACCTGAGAAAAAAAAAAGTTTAGGATACTTTGAAAGCTAAATCTTGGAGTATCAGTTGTTTACATTGGAATTACAAATAAATGGATTTGAGCTTAACCGCATTTTGATAACTTGTCTGAGAGATTAACCATTGGGCACAGCTGAGGTATTTTAGTGAGAAACACTGCATGAGTTTTTAAATTCTTAAAGGTATAATCTTTCAAAACTCTAATAGTGATTCTATCAATGTTTTCTTAGAATATGCAATGTAGCTTTAGCTCTTTCTAGGAAGCAGAACAGGTTTAAGGTGGAGTTTTGAGTTTAACCATGTTTTTGCTTGAGTTTTAAGGACTTTTGAATGTATTATCTTTTTAGTGGAGCTGTAAAATGGGCTGGGCTGCCTGTGGGCTGGCATGGCCCACATTAATAATATATATACATATATATTAATAATATATAAATACATAAATATATAAATATGATTTTTTTTTCTTCATAAAAAAATGAAATTCGTGCTGGCCTGTGGCATGACCCATGGGCCTGTACCAGGTTCCCCTCCCTGTAAATGTGGGCCATGCTGGCCCGGCTGCAACAGTTGCCGTACTGTGCCAGCCCTGCCCGCTATAGTGTGGGCGGCCTGAAAATGGAACTCAGGATTTTTGCTAAGTATGGTTTTATGATATGTAATAATTGTTTTTTGTTCTATTTGTAATTTTAAAGAGATGTCCCACTTGTCTTGTGAATATAAACCTCTGGAGCTCTCACAAGAATGTATTTGGTTTTATAAAATCTACTGCAAATAATGTGCTTGAAATGTTTGTCATGGTCAACTCATAATTGCCATTCTCTTGTGCCAGATCAATCTACAATGATTAAAGATGAGGATATCCTTAGCAACAAGGATACTAAAATCTTTGTTGGCAATCATCAAAGATTCATGTTATGTAAGTGAAATCGTTATCAATTTAGTTGTTCATAAAAAAAAATCGCCTTCAATTTTGACTTCTATTCATCTTCCATGTGCTGCTCTGGATACAACTTATTTGTCAACCTACAATGTAAGTCCAGCTTTCAACTTGCTCCAATTTTGCCATTTTTAAAGGTTTAGTAGAGCTCTTTAAATTACACAACAAGAATATGTTAATATTGCCATCAATGTTGCTAACGTGTTGAGCGATTGGAGCTTGCTTGCACGTCAAAGAAATGTGAATCATGATGGCAAAGGAGTAAGTAGTTGGCACATGAAGAAGTTTATGGAGTCATTTAAGAGATATGTCGGTCATGCTTGAAATGCTGATTTGCCGTCATCCAAGATATCGAAATGTAGAAAGAAGAAAAAAAGAAACAACTGGTCAGCAACTAAATCCATCACACCAACTCCTGCTAGCTTCAATGATACAGCAGAAGGATGAGTAAGATGTAACCTATTTGTCCATCAAGTTATTTGTCTGTAGTATGAGAGTCAATGGAGGACCAAGGTGACCAATATCAATTTTGGAAAAAAAAGCAGATTGATGTATCCATTGAGTTTTGAATGCAAAATGAAATCTTGAGACTTATGACATTTAAGTAACAAGGTCGAACCTGGAATGTGGGCGATTCCTGTTTACAATGCCAACCGTGTGAACAACTTAAAATGTACTTGTCTGAAATTGGACTTTTCATGCTCTACACGTTCTCTTTATTTATGTTGCATTTTCAAAAAATGATGAATATACTGCAGTTCTTCTACACCTAACATGTCTGGACTTGGACTTTTCATACTCCGCACCTTCTCTTTACGGTTTATGCTGCATTTTCTAGAGATGCTAAATATATATACTACAGTTATTCTTCTACATCTAAGCATATATATGATGTTGGGCAATTAGCTGTATTTCCTTTATGTGCCTAAAAATTGTTCCATTATGAGCTTTATTCATTGGACGGTGTCATTAATTGCAGGTATAACAATTTCTGAATTGCTTCCAACATGAGCTACGGAGCCTCAATCTGGACCACAACCATAGATTCCTGCTGCATTGTGGTCCAATGCTTGGTTATCTGCTTTGTCCTGCCCATCCTTGTCTTGACAGTTACAATGCCTGGCCGATATTCTAAATTCCACTTCCTTGAAGAGAAAGGTGAGTTGGTTTTCATTGTTCCGACTATAAATGGCAACTGTAGCATTTCTTGTACAGGAGTGTACCTTATCAAAGAAACTGCCTGTAAAAGTACTATTGTAGATTCCATTAAATGGACAGGTCAATTCTTCAATCTAGAACAATCTTAGTGGGCCACCATTTGAATTGGCATTGTTTGAATGAATATCAGCAACTTCCATCCTACAATTAATGGTTGAGGATGAAGATTTGATTTATTGATCAATAGTTACAGACTTACAGTGAAGCTGCTGTAAAAGGTAATTGGATAATACCGTTTTGATTTCTGGAACATTTTTAGGAGCCTACAACCAGGAAGACAAGAGACCTCTCTACATCATAATCCTTCTTTGTTAGACTTTTAAATGATCAATCTATTTCAAACCTTTCTTTTTTTTGACACCAAAACATCAAACACCTCATGTATAAACTATAAAATGCTCCTTCAATTTTCTGAACACAACGTATAAGCTGCGCCAAGTTAGACAAGATTTGAAGCTTCATAAACTGAACTATGAAATTGATCTTACTCTAGTTGGGTTACAGAGAAATAGAAATACACTGTGTCTATATCAAGGCATTGCTTTCTTGGTCACAACGGGGGATTACGAAGATTTTGGTTGAATTGAAATAAATTGAATCACAACTATACACCAAAAAAGAAACCACAATTTAGTAAAAAAAAGCATGAATTTAGCCTATGTCTGGATAAGCTTTTGCTTTCAAGCTTTGAGCTGTGAAAACAAGTAAAATTGGGACTTTGTGCTTTTGGGCTTTAAAAGCACAAATTCCGAAACTTATCCAAACGCAACCTGTGTTTTTTTTTGGCTTCGCAAAGCAACATTCTGTAAATGTTTTTCCATTTTGATTTTCAAGTTTTTCCTTCCTTCTCTTCTTTTTCTACCACTTCCAACACCAAAGCGCACCTGACGTTCAATTAGATTAATGTTCTATAAACGTGCTTTTAACTAGGCCAGAAGTCAGGCTTGGGCTAAAGCAAGCATTGTTTGAAAAGATTGGGCCTAGACAACTCAGACCCAATCAAGACGGGACATTTGACTTGGTTTCTTCATTCTGCACTTGGCATACGCTTGCTTTTATGAAATTCCGGGATCAGAAATGGCCGGAGGGCTGTAGACCCATCCAGCCAAGAACCAGATTACTGTGGGCCACATCGGACTACATCAAACATTGTTACTAAAGGCTGCATTTGGAAATGATGCAAATAAGTGTGAATGCAAATATGTACTTATGTAGAGTGTAAAACGGTTCATATAAATTGTAAAATTGAGTTAGTTTTGTACTGACAAACTTACCTTCTTACCAAACAGACTTTTAGCCGTAATGGATGCAAACATGAATTCCAATAAAGCATATGCTTTTTTTTTTTAATCAAAAGTCCACTTGAATGCAAATTTACTTCTTTTCTATTGATGTATTTTTACATCTTATTATCAATGTAAAAATGCATTACTCTGTTATTTGTCAATGCATAAATGTAATGTTGCCAAACACAGGCAAAAGTGAACCAGAGTGCAAATTTACCCTAAACTGGGATTTACACTCCATTTGCATAGTTTCCAAACACAGCCAAAAGGGAAATGGCAAAATGATAAGCTGGGAAATGATTTAAAGTAAAATAGAAGGAAATGTCTAAATGATTTTATTGATTCCCTTGCCTTATAAATTTTTATTGGTTTGTACACTTGAGGTGGGGGAATCTATCAAAATAAAAGGGGGGGGGGGGGTAACATAGGTGGGGTTTTTAACCAATATTATGGCACTGGTTGATTTGTTGTACGTTTTTCTGGTATCATGCCTTTTTGGCATCATAGTTTGAACCCCAAAAAGATTTAAGCTCAGTTTGTTTGCAATGCCAATTTCGTTGACACTGGTGTAAATGCAAGGGAGTGTAAATATGTTGAGTGAAAATTTTGGTTTATTTTTGCTTTAGATTTGACTGTCTTAGGGGGTGTTCTACAACATTGGATCGTTAACCAACCCATGTTGTCAAACACCCCCTTAATTGTTTATGGTTATCTGTTGTGAAAGATTTGGCTCGTACTTGGTCCTAGGCACAACTGCTTTTTTCATGTGGGGCCTTTTTTTTTTTTTTTGAAAATTTTTAAATGTTGGATGAGATGGCTATAACATCCACCATGAACAAGTGGTTGTACCTACAATCAGGCAGGAACCAAACATTGCCCTTATTTGTTTGGGAGTGATGCAGGAAGCAAGATGATGTGGTCCACTTTATATGAGAGAATTGCATCAATTTCTGAGATACAGAGTTTGCACCTAGTGAGTACATGAGACAAAAAGTACAAATTTTATATCAGGTAGGAGTGCAAAACTGAGTAAAGTAGGAGTGCAAAATTTGAACATTTCTTAGGTGCCCATGGGCTGCCATTTGAGTTTGAGTTGGTATTAGTGTCCAAATAAGTAAAGTAGGTCCACAACCCATATTAAAAGTTCCAGTTACACACAACACATACTTCTCTTGCTTGCAATTGCAACAATTTGAAACCAATTGTTATGGTCTATTATCAGTTGGACAAGCATCAGCATTGACCTCTGGTTGGGTTTGAGACTTTGAGCTTCCCAGCCCAGACCTACTTTCAGACCAAATGTTGAGATTGAGTGAATGTGAAGCACTGAGAGCAGTGACATGTTCTACAATAGATCTTGCCATACTAACAAAGCTACAGCCTGCAGGAAATTAAATTGCGTTTGGTTTTGGTCACATCATGAATCAAGATTTCTCCATCTGCAACTCCATCCAAATCAGAGGCTGCTATAGTGACTAAGCAATGACCAATCTCCCCATGTCATGTCCAAACATGATTTCATGGATGCGTGTCCATGTTTCATTGGCCTTGTAGTAAAATTTTCTGGACTCGAGTGTTTAGAAGTTTCCGCTAGATGAGATCATCATGAATAGAACTGTGCAAACGTATTACGCGCAATTGTTTTTTTCCATAACTTGGTAGCCAGTTGGAACATGAATTTCAACCTTTAACTTGGCAAGACAACAACGTTATCTTTGAAATTCCATGGGTGAATTCATATAGGGTTCTAAGCCTCTATACATTTTACCATCAATAAGTCTGTCTCTAAGTTTCAAAGCAACCCATAAATTTGCTAGGGCTGAAGGAAGAGGCTAACCAAAATGGTGGATCAAGTTCCCAGACCCAACAAGTCAACAACCACTTGTCTCTACGATCATGAATGAATATGAATTAATGTAGAGTTCTGAGCATCTGGACGTGTATTACCATCACTTAGTTTGTCTCTGAGTTTGAAAGAACCCATGAATTTGCTTAGACTGGATGGAGAGGCCAACCAAGTGATGGTGGATCAAGTTCCCAACTTATCCATACAAGTTGTATGTTCCCAATTTATCAACACAAGTTGACCATAATTTTAGATTAGAGTTCAACTGTTGAAGGGGCTAAAGGGGAATAGTAAGAAATGATTTAAATGTTCATAATTCAACAATGGATACGTCATTAAACAGATCCGAACGGCAAAACGGGATTCATGTAATTGGGGTAAGAATTTGATGATGATGACGATAACGACGACGACGGAGGAGAGTAGAGAGAGCAATTGTAGAACCCTATTATCTGCTACTTCGGGACCATCTTGGGTCTATATATTTGGCCCCGACCTAAGCTTGTAAGGGTCTATTCTGAAAGTAACGTCATATTAAGGCCGGACACGACATCTCTTGTGTCTTCAATCTGTTTAATTCTTAACGTGTATGACCTAATTACAAATCTAGAGAAAAAACAACTTTGGCTTAGATTGCTTGAGCGTGTCTGGACTCTGGAGAATAGATAATGGGAATGTTAGGCATCCTTGTAGAAAAAACAAGTAGAAAGTAGCTTTGCTCTCTCATTCCCTGACAAAATGGGCTTCTCAAACATTAGGTAAACAGAGCTGTTACTGAGATGGATGGCCCACTTGATTGTTATACCTCTTTACTCGTTCCAAAATTGGACTGGAGAAGCTATGCTGGCCGGGTTAATCTGGTTTGGGTTCAGAACAACCCAATGGGATAACATGAATATAATAACGTCAATATTTTGAAGTTCAAACCAAGATTCAAAATATCGATATGCCCGATATGTCAGTAGGGGCGTATCAAGTGATATCAATAGCTTTTTTTTTTTTAAACCAATTCAGGGGGCCGGTTTAGGGCTCTTTCACCCCCTGAACCGGTCAGACCTCAATACACCCACTATAGGGACATATCGAAAAGTCCCAAAATGATACGTATCGACCAATACGTAACTGTTTTTGGATCCTTGTTTTAAACCCAATTTGATACTGATCTGACCGGATCAGCTCATCACTACAGCCAAAGTGGGTTCATTATAATCAAAGACGTACGCCATGGTTGCAGTCATCCGGTTCGATTCACCTTTATACAAAACCTAGTAGCAACCTAAGCTAAATGACTCCAAGGCCTAATTTCCATGTTTTTATTTGCAGTTCAATTGTCGGGTTTGATTCAACTGTTGAAGCAGGGTTTATCCTTCATGGATAATCCTCATCTAGTCAATTCATGGAGTTGTTGCTATGGGTAAGCAGGTCCCTACCATTTAATCAATTGGTTTAACACTCTGAATCTGCTATCCATAAATTGTTCGCACATCCTTTATCCACAGAGCACCCTACGACCATCCTGTATTAAGAATATCTCTCATGAATGACAAGTGAGATATTTCCAATGTATAGTTGTCATGTCTCATGAGAACAACTTGTGGCTAGAAGATATGAGCCCTTGGTTTAAAATACAAATCCAAGAATCCAACCAAGGAACTAGCGCACAACAGATTATGGGCTAGCTATATCTGAATGACAAGTGAGATATTTCCAATGTATAGTTGTCATGTCTCATGAGAACAACTTGTGGCTAGAAGATATGAGCCCTTGGTTTAAAATACAAATCCAAGAATCCAACCAAGGAACTAGCGCACAACAGATTATGGGCTAGCTATATCCTAACTTGCCAACCTTCAAAGTTGACCAGGTCCAAAACATGGAGCTAGTGTCAGGATTTAATTAATTCCAAATTAAGCAGCAGACTCAGTTCAGTTCAATAAGGAGAAGATTAAGGTGGCACAACCAAGTTAGTGATTCATTTGTCTTGGAAGAATTGGTAGATATATAATTAAAAAACTGTTCTAGCTAGGGTTAGGCAAATCTCTTGCTTTTTTTGTTTTTGTTT